GTTGTGATTGGTCCGTGTGTTTAATACGTTTGAATGGAAGCATGGAACGGCTGCAGAGAACATGGACGAGGCACTTCGAAGCAGATTTCTTCAGTGCTTCGACAAAACCGAAGGAAAAGCAGTTTGGACTAGTTTTGGTTGCATATTGAACATATCTGTATATACTGTACAGTAGTTTCTTTTGCACTGTTCCTGTCTTTTGCACGTGAAGCTTATCACATCTGTTGCATTCATCCTTCACTTGTAAATAGTTCATGTTTGGTCACAGATATTATAAATTATTGTTTTGCTTGCACAAATACACTTTACTAATAACCATCTATTTCCAACAAGAACTGTGTCTTTATTCACAGCATCACGGTTCAAATAAGATACAAAACATTGAGTCTATAGTACTGTCACATAAACGTACGCCTAGAATACACATTTGATGAGATTCTGAAAATTTCTTCATCAACCTCAAACAGGTTCATTGTTTTTGTACTGAAGTGGAGAAAGCAGAAGCGGAACTTTATAATGACACCCCGGGACTTTGGTGTCCCAGGCAATTCCTGCGAGATCGCCATCATGTGGTTGGGATGTGGGATTACAATATTCTGATCAAAAGTACACACAGGGGGTACACTCGAGTATACAAACAAACAACTGTGGCTGCGTAGTCAACCACGGGTCCAGCGCAAACGCCAACACACACAGTGACGCCCAAGTATATACAGGCCTTAACCGTGGTGCAAAGGGTACAGTGGAGGGTTGAGCAGTGAAATCATGAATACACATCAAAACAAACATCATAACAAACTGATGTTATATAAAGTAATAAGTTGTAGGCCTGGTCCACATGGAGACGAAACAGCGTATAGTTTGAAATCCTGTTGGGTACAGACGGAACTTGCTCTGTATATCTATCTGCCCACACAAAGCTGCAAAAAAAAAACTATTCTTCCCAGAGCAGGGAAATGTGCATGCCAGGCCTGAAGGTGGCGCTTTGTTTCAGTCCACGGATTCAGAGATAACAGAGACGTATTGCTAAGACGGTCACCAGGGCAAGTTCGAGCTGAAAGGAAGGCATCTGATTGGTCAATTCGTATATATCTGGATCACACATCTGGATTTACAAAGACAATATCAACAAATAAACCGCAGCATCACAGAGTGTTCTAGACCACAGATCCACTAAAATGATGTGTCTATGGTTTAGCAAAGTTACTGAGCAAGAGAAGTTTACTGCCAGAGCAAGTTGGAGAAAAACTTTGTCCACAAGCACTTCCCAATTGGGCTTCATTGAGCTTGCGGGTCAGCTCTACCCAAAGAAGTTGGAACATTCTTTAGTTCATACAATGGGTGCATGCATTCAAGTAGGAATAAGAGTGTGCAGTGTGCAATGTGAGAGAGTGCAGTGTGAGAGAGTGCAGAGTGAGAGTGCAGTGTGAGAGAGAGTGCAGTGTGAGAGTGTGCAATGTGAGAGAGTGCAGTGTGAGAGAGTGTATTGTAAATGTGTGCAATGTGAGAGAGTGTATTGTAAATGTGTGCAATGTGAGAGAGTGTAGTGTGAGAGAGTGTATTGCAAATGTGTGCAATGTGAGAGAGTGTAGTGTGAGAGAGTGTGCAGTGTGAGAGTGTGCAGTGTGAGAGAGTGCAGTGTGAGAGAGTGCAGTGTGAGAGAGTGCAGTGTGAGAGTGTGCAGTGTGAGAGAGTGCAGTGTGAGAGAGTGCAGTGTGAGAGTGTGCAGTGTGATAGTGTGCAGTGTGTGAGAGTGCAGTGAGAGATAGTGTGCAGTGTGTGAGAGTGCAGTGAGAGAGTGCAGTGTGAGAGAGTGCAGTGTGAGAGAGTGCAGTGTGAGAGTGTGCAGTGTGAGAGAGTGCAGTGTGAGAGAGTGCAGTGTGAGAGTGTGCAGTGTGTGAGAGTGCAGTGAGAGATAGTGTGCAGTGTGTGAGAGTGCAGTGAGAGAGTATGTAGTGTGAGAGAGTGCAGTGTGAGAGAGTGTTGGGCAGAGCAGATGGCACAGTCTCAGTGCGATCACAGGCGCAGAGGGGGATAGGAGCTGCAGCCCCCGCGGCCCCCCCTCTGCCCGCGTGCCTCTGGGCCTGTGCTTTCTGTGGGATGAAAGAGCTTCCACATTCCTTTCCTCTGGGGTCAAAGATCACACCCCCACCGCCCCGCCGAGTGACGCGTTAACCCCTTCACTGCACACACACACACACTTCTACACAGCGCACTGCAAAAGAACCTGCGCGCACACACACACATACACAAACACAGACAATGCACGCACACACAAATATAATCAAATCTAGAAGATGAGTCGAAGGTGGTGGACTTTGAACAAAAGACGCTCAAGGGCTCATTGAAGCAAGAAGAGTTTTCACCGCAGCGCTCTGTGACGCGCCGCAGTGATGACAGAATGCGCGGTGTGCGTGTGATCCGCTCAGAACAATCAGTGCAACATCAGTGAGAGGAGGGAGCGCTGGCTGCACACGGCTCAGTTTAAAAGTTCACTTTAAATACTTCGTCCTGTAATTGTAGATCGTTTTTAATGAACGACGCTGCTGCACATCAGCTGCATGTGGAGCGTCTGCATCAGCTGCATGTGGAGCGTCTGCATGTGGAGCATCTGCATGAGGGGCGTCTGCATGTGGAGTGCCTGCATGTGAGCGTCTGCATGTGGAGCGTCTGCATGTGAGCGTCTGCATGTGGAGCGTCTGCATGTGGAGCGTCTGCATGAGGAGCGTCTGCATGTGGAGCGTCTGCATGTGAGCGTCTGCATGTGAGCGTCTGCATGTGAGCGTCTGCATGTGGAGTGCCTGCATGTGAGCGTCTGCATGTGGAGCGCCTGCATGTGAGCGTCTGCATGTGAGCGTCTGCATGTGGAGTGCCTGCATGTGAGCGTCTGCATGAGGAGCGTCTGCATGTGAGCGTCTGCATGTGGAGCGCCTGCATGTGAGCGTCTGCATGTGAGCGCCTGCATGTGGAGCGTCTGCATGTGAGCGACTGCATGTGGAGCGTCTGCATGAGGAGCGTCTGCATGTGGAGCGTCTGCATGTGGAGCGTCTGCATGAGGAGCGTCTGCATGTGGAGCGTCTGCATGTGGAGCGTCTGCATGTGAGCGTCTGCATGTGGGTCTGCATGAGCTGCATGTGAGCGTCTGCATGTGGAGCGCCTGCATGTGAGCGTCTGCATGTGAGCGTCTGCATGTGGAGTGCCTGCATGTGAGCGTCTGCATGAGGAGCGTCTGCATGTGAGCGTCTGCATGTGGAGCGCCTGCATGGAGCGTGCAGTGAGCGTCTGCATGTGGAGCGTCTGCATGCATGTGAGCGTCTGCATGTGAGCGTCTGCATGTGAGCGCCTGCATGTGGAGCGTCTGCATGTGAGCGACTGCATGTGGAGCGTCTGCATGTGGAGTGCCTGCATGTTAGCGTCTGCATGTGAGCGCCTGCATGTGAGCATCTGTATGTGGAGCGTCTGCATGTGAGCGTCTAAATGTGAGCGTCTGCATGTGAGCGTCTGCATGTGGAGCGTCTGCATGTGAGCGTCTGCATGTGGAGCGTCTGCATGTGGAGCGTCTGCATGTGAGCGTCTGCATGTGAGCGTCTGCATGTGAGCGCCTGCATGTGGAGCGTCTGCATGTGAGCGTCTGCATGTGAGCGTCTGCATGTGAGCGCCTGCATGTGGAGCGTCTGCATGTGAGCGTCTGCATGTGAGCGTCTGCATGTGAGCGCCTGCATGTGGAGCGTCTGCATGTGAGCGACTGCATGTGGAGCGCCTGCATGTGAGCGTCTGCATGTGAGCGCCTGCATGTGAGCGCCTGCATGTGGAGCGCCTGCATGTGAGCGTCTGCATGTGGAGCGTCTGCATGTGAGCGTCTGCATGTGAGCGTCTGCATGTGAGCGCCTGCATGTGAGCGTCTGCATGTGGAGTGCCTGCATGTGAGCGTCTGCATGTGGAGCGTCTGCATGTGAGCGTCTGCATGTGGAGCGTCTGCATGAGGAGCGTCTGCATGTGGAGCGTCTGCATGAGGAGCGTCTGCATGTGGAGCGTCTGCATGTGAGCGTCTGCATGTGAGCGTCTGCATGTGAGCGTCTGCATGTGGAGCGTCTGCATGTGGAGCGTCTGCATGAGGAGCGTCTGCATGTGGAGCGTCTGCATGTGGAGCGTCTGCATGAGGAGCGTCTGCATGTGGAGCATCTGCATGTGAGCGTCTGCATGTGAGCGTCTGCATGTGGAGCGTCTGCATGTGAGCGTCTGCATGTGGAGCGTCTGCATGTGGAGCGTCTGCATGAGGATGTCTGCATGTGGAGCGTCTGCATGTGGAGCGTCTGCATGAGGAGCGTCTGCATGTGGAGCGTCTGCATGTGAGCATCTGCATGTGAGCGTCTGCATGTGGAGCGTCTGCATGTGAGCGTCTGCATGTGAGCGCCTGCATGTGGAGCGCCTGCATGTGAGCGTCTGCATGTGGAGTGCCTGCATGTGGAGCGTCTGCATGTGAGCGTCTGAATGTGGAGTGTCTGCATGTGGAGCGCCTGCATGTGGAGCGTCTGCATGTGGAGCACCTGCATGTGAGCGTCTGCATGTGGAGCGCCTGCATGTGAGCGTCTGCATGTGGAGTGCCTGCATGTGAGCGTCTGCATGTGGAGTGCCTGCATGTGGAGCGTCTGCATGTGGAGTGCCTGCATGTGAGCGTCTGCATGTGGAGTGCCTGCATGTGGAGCGTCTGCATGTGGAGCGCCTGCATGAGGAGCGTCTGCATGTGGAGTGCCTGCATGTGAGCGTCTGCATGTGGAGTGCCTGCATGTGGAGCGTCTGCATGTGAGCGTCTGCATGTGGAGTGCCTGCATGTGAGCGTCTGCATGTGGAGTGCCTGCATGTGAGCGTCTGCATGTGGAGTGCCTGCATGTGAGCGTCTGCATGAGGAGCGTCTGCATGTGAGCGTCTGCATGTGGAGCGCCTGCATGTGAGCGTCTGCATGTGAGCGCCTGCATGTGGAGCGTCTGCATGTGAGCGACTGCATGTGGAGCGTCTGCATGAGGAGCGTCTGCATGTGGAGCGTCTGCATGTGGAGCGTCTGCATGAGGAGCGTCTGCATGTGGAGCGTCTGCATGTGGAGCGTCTGCATGTGAGCGTCTGCATGTGGAGTGCCTGCATGTGAGCGTCTGCATGTGGAGCGCCTGCATGTGAGCGTCTGCATGTGAGCGTCTGCATGTGGAGTGCCTGCATGTGAGCGTCTGCATGAGGAGCGTCTGCATGTGAGCGTCTGCATGTGGAGCGCCTGCATGTGAGCGTCTGCATGTGGAGCGTCTGCATGTGGAGCGTCTGCATGTGAGCGTCTGCATGTGAGCGCCTGCATGTGGAGCGTCTGCATGTGAGCGACTGCATGTGGAGCGTCTGCATGTGGAGTGCCTGCATGTTAGCGTCTGCATGTGAGCGCCTGCATGTGAGCATCTGTATGTGGAGCGTCTGCATGTGAGCGTCTGCATGTGAGCGTCTGCATGTGAGCGTCTGCATGTGGAGCGCCTGCATGTGAGCGTCTGCATGTGGAGCGTCTGCATGTGGAGCGTCTGCATGTGAGCGTCTGCATGTGAGCGCCTGCATGTGGAGCGTCTGCATGTGAGCGTCTGCATGTGAGCGTCTGCATGTGAGCGCCTGCATGTGGAGCGTCTGCATGTGAGCGTCTGCATGTGAGCGTCTGCATGTGAGCGCCTGCATGTGGAGCGTCTGCATGTGAGCGACTGCATGTGGAGCGCCTGCATGTGAGCGTCTGCATGTGAGCGCCTGCATGTGAGCGCCTGCATGTGGAGCGCCTGCATGTGAGCGTCTGCATGTGGAGCGTCTGCATGTGAGCGTCTGCATGTGAGCGTCTGCATGTGAGCGCCTGCATGTGAGCGTCTGCATGTGGAGTGCCTGCATGTGAGCGTCTGCATGTGGAGCGTCTGCATGTGAGCGTCTGCATGTGGAGCGTCTGCATGAGGAGCGTCTGCATGTGGAGCGTCTGCATGAGGAGCGTCTGCATGTGGAGCGTCTGCATGTGAGCGTCTGCATGTGAGCGTCTGCATGTGAGCGTCTGCATGTGGAGCGTCTGCATGTGGAGCGTCTGCATGAGGAGCGTCTGCATGTGGAGCGTCTGCATGTGGAGCGTCTGCATGAGGAGCGTCTGCATGTGGAGCGTCTGCATGTGAGCGTCTGCATGTGAGCGTCTGCATGTGGAGCGTCTGCATGTGAGCGTCTGCATGTGGAGCGTCTGCATGTGGAGCGTCTGCATGAGGATCGTCTGCATGTGGAGCGTCTGCATGTGGAGCGTCTGCATGAGGAGCGTCTGCTGTGAGCTTGCATGTGGAGCGTCTGCATGTGAGCGTCTGCATGTGAGCGTCTGCATGTGGAGCGTCTGCATGTGAGCGTCTGCATGTGAGCGCCTGCATGTGGAGCGCCTGCATGTGAGCGTCTGCATGTGGAGTGCCTGCATGTGGAGCGTCTGCATGTGAGCGTCTGAATGTGGAGTGTCTGCATGTGGAGCGCCTGCATGTGGAGCGTCTGCATGTGGAGCACCTGCATGTGAGCGTCTGCATGTGGAGCGCCTGCATGTGAGCGTCTGCATGTGGAGTGCCTGCATGTGAGCGTCTGCATGTGGAGTGCCTGCATGTGGAGCGTCTGCATGTGGAGTGCCTGCATGTGAGCGTCTGCATGTGGAGTGCCTGCATGTGGAGCGTCTGCATGTGGAGCGCCTGCATGAGGAGCGTCTGCATGTGGAGTGCCTGCATGTGAGCGTCTGCATGTGGAGTGCCTGCATGTGAGCGTCTGCATGTGGAGTGCCTGCATGTGAGCGTCTGCATGTGGAGTGCCTGCATGTGAGCGTCTGCATGTGGAGTGCCTGCATGTGAGCGTCTGCATGTGGAGCGTCTGCATGTGAGCGTCTGCATGTGGAGCGTCTGCATGTGGAGCGTCTGCATGAGGAGCGTCTGCATGTGGAGTGCCTGCATGTGGAGCGTCTGCATGTGAGCGTCTGCATGTGAGCGTCTGAATGTGGAGTGTCTGCATGTGGAGCGCCTGCATGTGGAGCGTCTGCATGTGGAGCACCTGCATGTGAGCGTCTGCATGTGAGCGTCTGCATGTGGAGCGTCTGCATGAGGAGCGTCTGCTGTGGAGCGTCTGCATGTGAGCGTCTGCATGTGAGCGTCTGCATGTGAGCGTCTGCATGTGGAGCGTCTGCATGTGAGCGTCTGCATGTGGAGCGTCTGCATGTGGAGTGCCTGCATGTGGAGCGTCTGCATGTGAGCGTCTGCATGTGGAGTGCCTGCATGTGAGCGTCTGCATGTGGAGTGCCTGCATGTGAGCGTCTGCATGTGGAGTGCCTGCATGTGAGCGTCTGCATGTGGAGCGTCTGCATGTGAGCGTCTGCATGTGGAGCGTCTGCATGTGGAGCGTCTGCATGAGGAGCGTCTGCATGTGGAGTGCCTGCATGTGGAGCGTCTGCATGTGAGCGTCTGCATGTGAGCGTCTGAATGTGGAGTGTCTGCATGTGGAGCGCCTGCATGTGGAGCGTCTGCATGTGGAGCACCTGCATGTGAGCGTCTGCATGTGAGCGTCTGCATGTGAGCGTCTGCATGTGGAGCGTCTGCATGAGGAGCGTCTGCATGTGGAGCGTCTGCATGTGAGCGTCTGCATGTGAGCGTCTGCATGTGAGCGTCTGCATGTGGAGCGTCTGCATGTGGAGCGTCTGCATGAGGAGCGTCTGCATGTGGAGCGTCTGCATGTGAGCGTCTGCATGTGAGCGTCTGCATGTGAGCGTCTGCATTTGGAGCGTCTGCATGTGAGCGTCTGCATGTGAGCGTCTGCATGTGGAGCGCCTGCATGTGGAGCGCCTGCATGTGGAGCGCCTGCATGTGAGCGTCTGCATGTGAGCGTCTGCATGTGAGCGTCTGCATGTGGAGTGCCTGCATGTGGAGCACCCGCATGTGGAGCGCCTGCATGTGAGCGTCTGCATGTGGAGCACCTGCAGGTGGAGCGTCTGCATGTGGAGCGCCTGCATGTGAGCGTCTGCATGTGAGCGTCTGCATGTGGAGCACCTGCATGTGGAGCGCCTGCATGTGAGCGTCTGCATGTGGAGCACCTGCATGTGGAGCGTCTGCATGTGGAGCGCCTGCGTGTGAGCGTCTGCATGTGGAGCGCCTGCATGTGAGCGTCTGCATGTGGAGTGCCTGCATGTGGAGCGTCTGCATGTGGAGCGTCTGCATGTGAGCGTCTGCATGTGAGCGTCTGAATGTGAGCGTCTGCATGTGTGAGCGTAGTCGGACTCCACAGATCCCATCATGAAAACACAATGTGAATAAAAGACATTTTACAAAGTATGTTATGTCCTAGACAGATCTACCCTCACTGTGTGAACGAGAGGTTCCACAGGTCTTTCCTTCGCTGCTGTCAGACTGTACAATGAGATCTGCTGACCCTTTTTATGTCATTCATCTGTAAATACTAAATACTGAAATCATGTATATATATGTAAATAAGCATACATACTTATTTATTTATCATATTAAGAAGCATTTACAGATACTTACTGTATCTACAGTATGTATATTTTGTGTGCTCTTACTGCTGTCTTGTATGTGTGCGCTGAACCAGAGATTCCGCCTCTGTGGGAAGAATAAAGGTTCTCTTGTCATTTCTAATCATTCAATTCATTCAAATTCATAAAGTTTTGACTTTGTAACAAACTGTTTGTATAGATAAACCAAACAAACATGAGCAGATCCCAAATCTATGCACAATACATAACTTCATGTTTCTGTCATTCCACATAAATGTTTGAGCAGGAAAGACAGCGATGTCACGTTTGACTCTTTTCTGAACAGTTGTTTCTTTCTATGTACAGTAGACATTTTGAATTATTATATATTTTTTTGCAGTGCACAGAGCAAACAACCTCTGAGCAAACAAGTTTAAACTCTAAATATAGAAAATGATCCGAGCGTTCAGAGCAGAGGAAACAACACCGCAGGACGAGTTACACGCACTGAAGCAAAGTCAAAGAAATATTATTCATTTTAGGAGAACTAAATTCATCTAAGTTACACTGTTCATTTCAATAAAGGATATTTGCCCTCAGCACAGAGAGTAACCAGTAAGATCCAGGCAAAACCCCCAAGAAGAGAAGCTCTGGCTTAAACGATAACAGATACAAGTCATTTCCATGGATATTTAGTGATATCAGGGATTGGCGAATACTGCGGAAGAAAAAAGTATATTACAAAGAATTAGGTTTTTACGAGTATGTATGTGTGTGTGCGTGTTTGTGTGAATGTGTTTGTGTGTATGTGTGTGCGTATGCATGTGTGAGTGTGTGTGTGTATATGTGTGTGTATGCGTGTGTGTGTGTGTTTGTGCGTGTGTATGTGTGTGTGTGTGTACGTGTGTGTGTGTTTGTGCGCGTGTATATGTGTGTGTATGCATGTGTGTGTGCGTGTGTTTGTTTGTGTGTGTGTGTGTGTGTGTGTGTTTGCGTGTGCATGTGTGTGTGCATGTAGGGGAATCCCTCCTGGCAGCTGCACATGTGGCCCTGAGCCAATGGGACCAGAGCCAACCCCTGCTCTCGCCTCTCCACAGACCTGCCCTGTCACTCTGCTGGTGTATCCATGGAGATAAAGATGTGTCGGTCCAGGCAGAGCTCCTTTAATGATTCATTTATGATCTGTGATCATTTTCTTGTAAAAGTCAAATGTTGAGAACAAGTCTTCATCTTGTTAGAAAACACGTAGCTGTTCTCCCGTGTTTGCGTAGGTTTCTTCCGGAAGCTCCGGTTTCCCCTACCACTAAAAACAAAAAATCTTCGTGTCCTGACCAAGCCAAGCACCAACATCTGGAGATGTGTTCCCGGGCGCTGCACTGCGCTGACCACTGCTCCGGACAGAGGCGCTCCTGTCAGTGAAGCATGGGTCAGATGCAGATGTTAGATTTCCCTACGGGGATAAATAAACGGAACTAAATACCTCTCAGATTAGAATATTTTAGAAATGGTCTGTAGGTCATAATTATCAACATTAAAACAAACAAAGGCCTGGCATATGTCACTTTTCAGGCAATAAATCTATATTTTATGAATAGGTTTCACACAGAAATAAATTAACTTTCACCTGTATGTGTCTAAAACTGACTGTATGTGATAAAGTGGGAGCTCCCGTCAGCATCCGAGCTGTG